GAGCTGTTGGCCAAAGAGAGTCCGTTTAAGTTGAAAAACAAACAGACTTTCGATGAACAGTGGAAAGCGTTCGCCGAAAGCAAGCAGTTCTCCGATGAGGCGAAACAACTGCTCGACCGCATCCTCACCGAAGACCTCCAGAATCGGCCCAACATTTGGGATGTACTCAAAGACCCCTATTTCAAGAATGTTAAGCGTTCGCCGAAAGCAAGCAGTTCTCCGATGAGGCGAAACAACTGCTCGACCGCATCCTCACCGAAGACCTCCAGAATCGGCCCAACATTTGGGATGTACTCAAAGACCCCTATTTCAAGAATGTTTAACAAAGGATACGCTCCAAGAATTTCGACTCTCTTTTTGTTTTTCTACTTATTTGAGAAATTAAAACAAAACAAAAATTCATATAAAATTGAAAATCCATTTCTGAAATAAAACTTTTTCTCAACACTTTTGGTATTCATTTGTCAAATTGTAATCTAATTGAAGTGAAACGTAAATGAATTGGAATTAGATTTAGTTTTTAAGTGACATTTTTATTCATCAATTCTTGTCACTCAAAGGTTTTTAATATTGCTTTTTAAATGAAACAGAATCTATGAAATTCTTTATTATTGATTTATTTTAGAATAAAGATTTCGACATAATATCAATCAATCGCTTCAGGTTTTTCACATACACTCTACCCATAGATCCCAATGAAAAGTACACCAATTTCCCGGTCTGTCCCTCAACGACACCGCTATCTCAACATTACAGCTATTGTTGGCCACTATTACCGGTGACTATGAATTATCATAAGAGATATAGATCATCAGTTTTGTCTATGAATTTTGTTGAATTTTGTTAGAATTACTGTACATTCAAAGAAATACTGTAGAATTGCTTGTAATCATAAAAGGTTTGGTTTCAATCACTTATTTTATTAATCAGTGAAAAGGGATCGTTTCTGCTTGTAATCATATTTACATAATTTAATTTCTAATATGAATTTTTTATAAAGTAATCCAACATTACTAATACTAAATACTAAATAATAGAATTTCGTTTCAAATTAAAGCATTTTTATTGACTAAATATTTGCAAATTTGAAGAGAAAATGAATGGAAAATGTGACCAATTTTTGAAAAACAAAACTTTTATAAGAAGTCAGACATAAGAGGAATGCAGTGATGACATGGTCTGACTCTTAGTCTCTGAATGACTACTTGAAGGACTTGAGCCACGGGTCGACATTGAGTTTGTCGATGTGCTTGCGCTCTGTGGCCAACGGTTTGAGGAGTTCGTTGAGACATCTCTTGCCATCCGCTGAGATGCCTTGCATTCCGTCCACACTCTTGGGGATAGCGTTGGCGGCGTTCGCGGCGTTGGCGATGTCGTATGGATACTGTTTCGTGAATATATAGAAAGCTGTGGCGCCGACAGACCAGACATCGGCTGTCAAGGGGTCGAACTCCTCTTTGGCCGGATCGCCGTACATCTCCGGCGCCTGATATGTGGGCGCATCGGTGGGTCGAGACTCGAGCGGAAGGCACGGGATGTTCTTGATGTCCTCTTTGGCCGGATCCCAATAGATGGCCGCAGATTCAAAGCCCGACAGTTTGACTTTCAAGTCCTTGTGAGACAACAGGATGTGCTTCGGCTGTATGGACCGGTGACTGACGCCGACGTCGCCCAAGTACAGCTCCCGAAACTCATTGACGGTGTTGGTTGACGGGCGGTGGAAGAGGAGCTATCAGCCCCACAAGACCTGCACTCACTTGAGCGATCCCTTGTTCGCCATCTCTTGGAATATAAGGATCTGATTGGTCTCCTCGTTGTGGAACACATCCCATGTTTGGGTGATATTCGGGTGCTTTTTGCCCAAAACGCGGATAATCTTAAGCCACAGACTGTTGTTGACATCGATTCCGTGTTCGCCGTTGTATTGCTTGACGGCAAGAGTGGAGTCTTTGAACTCCTGGTGCTGTGCTTTGAACACTTTGCAGAGCGCCGACTCACCGATCACTCCCTGATCCGAGAGAATCGTATATCGCGAGAAGTACCGGTGCTTTGTAGGCAGAGCGCCCTTCTCTTTGTTGATCCGCTCCACCGAAGCCTTCAGTAATCCTTTCATAAACAACAGCTTCTTGTCGTCGAAAGCCTTGTCTGCGATGTGTTCAGTGGGCGCTCCCGTCAGCACTTCCGGGGTTTTGGAGGTCGCGCCGCCTTTCCCTGAACTGCTTTTGCCTGACTCACCCGCACCGCCAACAGAGGACGGCGCCACTCGAAGACCTTTTTCCGGTTTGTTTCCCTTATCCTTCTTCTTCTTGCCATCCTTTCCCTCCAAATAGCGAACCATTCGTTTCGTATAATAAGGCATTTCCTGTGAATGCTATTCCTCTTCAATCGATGGTATTCTTTGGATGTCTTCTCTTCTCTTCTCTGTCTTCTTGTCAACAAATTCTGTTGATTTGTATTTGTCTTTGTTTTGCAAACTGTTGTCTAAAACTAAAAACTGATGAATGAATTTAAATTTGAATTCATTTGCAATAATTGGTCTCAACTCGGAATCGCGTGCTTTTCAATACTTTTCAATGCTATTCATTCAATTCACTTATCATTTGTTTAATTGAGTGATATTTGAATTACACATAAACTGTGGAAATGAGTGAAATAAATGCCCAAACGTGTGAAATATGTCTAAGCGGTCGACCGGGTGCTGACGACCCGTTGATTGCGGCCTGCAATTGTAATACAATTGTACACAAGTCTTGTGGCGCCCAATGGTTTGAAATCACATCCCAAGACAATTGCGAAAATTGTCATTTTAAATACATTACAAAACGTGTGGCGAAGACATCCAGAGAATACTTTAAGGAAACACCAGAAGAGTGGGAAGAACTCAAAGAATTGCTTTTACGGACCATCAATATCAGTCATTTGGCACTCATTACTCTCATTATTTGGATCCACAACCCAATTGGCTTTCTTTGGCTAAAATACATTTTGTTGATAACAGCCTTCAGGTATGTGGCCATCTTCAGGCTCTGGATTATGTTTGGCTCTCGACTCGTATATAGTCTTCGCGAATGGAAAAGAACTCATTTCTGGGTCCAACTCTATCCCAATCCTAACCCAATACCACTCATCAAACCAAAAGATATCTAAGAAATACTTTTAAATTATTAAATAAAAAAGATTGAGTTTTATTAATTGGATAACTAATTATCATTACACTTTAATTAACTATTACTATAGGAAAATTGTGTTTTAATGTTTACAACTTTTATTAAAATAAAGTCAAAATGCAGCAATTTTTTAAAATTTATTTAGTGCTCAATCATTGCATTTCTTAATATCCACAGACTTTTGTCATAAATAATTTATTAGTCTAATTATTAGTCTTCAATACTATACACATAATGTGATTGTAGGTTTTAGTTTTTGAAAATTAGATTTTTCTCATATTCCTGATGGGTCTGTGGATTTGATTAAAAATTATAGGATCATCAACAAATATAATATAACTTATTATATAATATAAAGCATATTTTCTTTGAAGAGTTTATAATTTAATTATANTAGGATCATCAACAAATATAATATAACTTATTATATAATATAAAGCATATTTTCTTTGAAGAGTTTATAATTTAATTATAAGATATTTCATACAATACATTCACATTAATTTCTAAAATTATTACATTTTTACATTATAATGACTGAATTTTATGTTATATACTTTTTTGATGAGACTAAAATAATGTATTTAACTTGTAAAGAATTTAAATGTAAAATTGTGAATTGAATAATAACAACTACACTTTTACTACATTAGGTTCTTCAAAGTTCACACTTTACAGAAAACTTATACTTGCTTATTATTTAATACAGAAAGTATTTATCATAAAAATATTATATTGAATTTACCCATAGGTTTAAAATATTGTAATATTATTATCTGTAATAGGATTCATAATAAAGTTTGATATGATTTTATATGAAACTTTTAAATCATAAACATTTAACACAGACTATGGATGAAATTTGATCATGATATTTTAGTGGGAAATATTTATGTTATCTATCAATGTCTTTATTTCACAATATAAAGTCTAAACTTACATTACTCAAAATACAATACTTAGCAATATTGGACTTTAACTATATTTTAAAATATATATACCGAACTTTAGTTAAAACAATTTTGACATAACATTTCCGGGCATATAATCTGTTTTATACTTGGTATTTAATCACTTATAAATTTATTTGAACAGAAAATTTCATTTGTATTTTTAATATTCTTTTCCTGTACTTTATTATTAAGCTTGAAATCGGATTGACTTTGTTCATCAAATTCATCATTTAATAAACCATTAGATTTGAAGTTAATATTCACAATAACTGTATTCGTGTGACTATTAATCTCTTCATTCTGCGATATATTTGCGAAACAATTATTGCCATCCAATGAATTACCACTTTTGAAACGATTGCTTCCATTCAGACTCACTTCCATTGATTCAAAAGATAATTCTTCTGATTTCGGACTCATTTTCGAAGAATCTTTTTAATTAATTAAATGTTTCAAACGTTTTATCAAATGATATATCATTTAAAAAACATTAAATTAAAATAATAGTTTTAAAATTATTATCATTTATTGGATTACAATAAATAAGTAAATAATACCACTGAGGAAAGAGATCGGGGATGTGACCTCTTGTTTGCCAGTTAACCAAAATGACTTCATTTCTCCCTTTCCCTAACATTTTATTAAATTATCAATTTATAAAATAACTAAATTAAAGTTCATTACTCAATACCTTAATAGAGATGACACCTCTTTCTTGAATGACATAACCTCCCAACTTATCAAGAATGGTCTTACAGGCCTCACTCGCATGAATTCTCAACGCTTTTAAAATCCAATTATAATTACAATTTTATTTACAATATATAAAAATATTAATAACTTAATCAATAATCAATTCATACAAAATATAATGAATTCTTTAATAACTCACGAATTCCTGTCGATTCCATTCTAAATGAGAAAAATTTCTGTTATTTGAAAAAAAAGTTATTAATGCAAATATAAATACCTGGATGCTGTGTTGACTGTGTCGCCTTAGGAGATGATAATAAATCATAAGTCAATAAGTATGTAAACAATATAAATTGTAGTAATGATGAAAATATATATTACCGAATAGACAATATCGAGGCATTTTCAGACCCACAACTCCTGCAACACATGGACCGGAATGGATGCCTATTCTTAGTTTAAGTCTTTCTCCACTCCTGTGTTTGATCTCAAAGTTTTGAATGGCACTCAACAAATGCAAAGCCATCGATGCTATCTCTGCCGCGTGTTTGTCGTTATTACGAATCGGAAGTCCACTCACAACCTATTCTTCAACACAAATTTCATAGTAATATTATATTAAATGTATCATGGTAAATAATTCTCTCTCTCTCTCTCTCTCTCTCTCTCTCTCTCGTCTTTATTTCTTTTTGATTCTAAACTAAAATTAAACTCTAAATTAAAATGAAATGATGAGACAATAGTACACACCATATATGCGTCTCCAATGGTCTCAACTTTATAGACATCATAATTGCCAATAATCTCATCAAACAAAGTGTACAATTCGTTCAATAATGAGATGATCTGAAGCGGAGTACTAATAGCGGATAAAGTGGTGAACCCAACGATATCACTGAAGTAAATGGTGACGCACTCGAAGAACTCGGCCTCAACTGCTGCCCCTCTCTTCAGCTGTTCCGCAACTGATCTGTAAAATTATATTTACTTTTACAAACTTTAACTAACAAACAATCGTTACATTTAGTTTACAACACATTTAAGTAGTTATAAAAATTTGTTGACAAACATAAACAAATAAATTTTTAATAAAAAATTAATAAATAAAATGTTTTCAATATTTTAAAGACAAGTTTCTTTAAAAATAAGTTCTTATCATAAAATTATGAATTTATAATATATTCTTAATATCAGTGTACTATAAGCAATCTAGGTGAATTTTAAAAATTAATACTTAGGAAGCATTCGCAGCAATAAATTTTCGGTTTTCTTTTTTTCTTCGACCAATTGATTGGTCCTCTCCTGAACCAAACCCTCCAAATTGTAGGCATATTTTTCTAACATTGTTATCATATTATCGAAAATATTTGGTTTCCTAAAGACAAAAATAGCAAATTTAATAAAATTATAATTCACATCTAAACATGAACTGACAGTCCGGCCTGCATTTCTCGTAGTCTTATATTAATAAACCTAAAGTCAGGTCTTGAGTCGGGATTTTCGTGCCAACACTCTTCGATCTTATGTATAAAATAATTATTAATTTTTAGTTTTAATCATATTTATAATAATCAATTGATGGCATACACAGCGGATAATATATGGGGCGCACTTCATGTCCCGAAGAGGTGGTCTATAGATGTGTCCGAAATGATTAGGATTTATAATTTGCTCCAAAATTTCTTTTACAGTCTTATGTGACAAATCTTGTTCACCCGTCGGACCTTTCCTTCCGATAATCTCATACAATATAATTGCAAACCTAATGAAATAATTATTTCAACAATTATAATCTAATTAAAATGAATAAAATTGATAAAACTAACGAATAGACGTCTCCTTTTTGTGTGCCTCTGGCCGGAGGGTTAATAATTCGTAACAATTCCGGTGCTCTCCATATAAGATCTGTTTAACAATTTTCAACAAATCATGTTTAATCAATTTAAGCTAAATACAGTATATACATAATTTTGTAATTTAAAAATTCATATTCAAATGTTTAACCCCTTTGTCTTTTATTTTCATCGAAATGTGTAAAGTCTTGATTAGCTCTAAATTCATGTAATCCATAATCAGTAATCTGAAGGACCCAACGGCTGTCCACCAGACAATTCGATGACTTAAGTCTCCCGTGAGATATAATTTCCGAGTCGTGTAAATATATCATCGCCTTTTAAATATATAATTTATTAATAATAATTGTTTTTAATTGTTTTAATGTTTAAATGCCTTAATCAAGTCGGCCACCAGTGATGCGATAAACATATTATCCAAATCCAAGTCTTCATTCTTTAAAACGTCCTGAATTTTGAATCAAATATTTAAATTTGTATTCATTTGATTATACAGGATAATATATGACTTTTCTGATAAATTCTATAACAATTTGTGGATTTTAACTCAAATATATAGACAACTTTTGAAATAGATAAATGTTATCAAAAATAAATAAGAAAAAGTACATTAATATTTGTTACTATAAATTCTGACTTTGAAATTTGAACTAACATGGAAGCTATTTTTAAAACTTTTGAAATTTTAATCTTAAAATCAAGCATCATATAACGCATTAGATTAAACAAATCTTAAAATAAAATTTTAATAAATTTAATTCAATAAGACTTAGAGTTATAAATACCTCGAGACTACCCCGGGCACAGTACAGGAATATCAGAGATATGTTGGTCGACTCAATGCTGGCACCAATGAATGAGTTTATATTTTCATGCCTCATCTCTCTTACCTATCAATCATTACATAATATTATTTGGAAATATTTTAATTAATAAGTGCAGACAAAATAATGTGTAAATTGTTTAAATGGAAATTATAATAAAAAGAGTAAATACTTGAATGAGTTCTTTTCGGACATTTCTGGTCAAATCAATAGACTTTTTGAAAATTCGTTTGATTGCCACTACATTTCCCTTATAGACTCCGATCCCAAACGAGGTTTGAGATGAGACATCACTGCTGTTTAGGCAGAAACCATCGAATCGACCGGAAGTGCTGTTTCCAAACAGACTTAATCGACGCATATCTATGCCCTGAAACTTAAAAGAATTATATGTAATGCTGTGTTTTATTGTTAACACTTCATATTTTAAATATTAATAACACTTATAGTTTCAAAAAGTAAACAACAAATAAAAGCACTATTTTGAAGTAAGTTAAATCAATCTTACGGTAAATTATTAAACCATTCTCTAATATGAATTTTATATTCAAATACACGTATAGTCTATGCAATTTAATTAAATTATTAAGTCTTTTCGAAAGTATAATATTATAATACCGTATGTAGTACTTTGCATTATAAAGTTTACACGATATTATAGCTTACAACACAAAGCTTTGTATTAATATAAGGAGCAGACAACAACACTTACATTAATTGTGTTACGAATATTCTGGAGAGTATACTCAGAATTAGTGTTGAGAACTATTACTTCTTTCATATCAATTTTCCACAATAATCTGGTCAATTTGTGCTCATATCTATAGTGTCTATGAAATTATACAAATATGTACAATACTTGTTAATTAAATTTAATAATATTCCAATTTTGATCACTCTTTCTCCCTCACATTCATTAAAATAAATAAAAAGTTGAATTTACCGGAAAATAAAAACCGCGGCAATTAATACAATAAATGAAGAAATACTAAAAATAAAGATGAGTTTCCAATCCCTTTTGTATTCACAATATTCTCCTTCGAAGCCACAGTGGGGTTCAGCCAAAGGGGGTCCGTCACCAATCCAATCGATGTCTTCTTCCAGTCTCAGAGTCTATGAGAAAAACATTAATATTTCTCGGATTTACAAATATTTTCCAACCGGAAGATCAGAATTGTTGTGATAGAAAGCGCCGACGGGTCTCATACTTCTATCGCCATCCCTTGAATTAAGCGCAAGGAGTGTGTAATTCCCCTCAGCATCGCCTTTATATATAATTTAATACAATTAGCATTAATTTGAAAAATTGATTATCAAAAACTTCACCTGACTCATCGATCATAACTTCAAATCCTAAAATACCTGAAATGAACGGTCATTATTAGAATAATTTTGTGGTCAATAATTGAATATCTTTATTACTTTTATATGATTTTCTTTTAATGGCCTCAAGAATTGCTGATCCGTTTAATATAGAGCCACCCATTGACAGGACACGTGTTAATGCATTGGCATAAATCATGACCGCATCATAGGCTAATCCGGCATAAATGGGCACCTGGATGGTTATGTGTGGATGGAAAGGTATATTGAAAGGAGAAAGTCGACTTCTTTTGTTGACTTCTTGTTTGAAATCAGTATAATTGGAATTTATGGGCGCCGTTGGGGTTATCATATAGACTGCTCGGAAGGGCAACGGATCTAATGAATCCAAATGTGTCTCAAATTCTCTGCTTATGTACTGTTTCTTCTTATTTTGAAATCAGTATAATTGGAATTTATGGGCGCCGTTGGGGTTATCATATAGACTGCTCGGAAGGGCAACGGATCTAATGAATCCAAATGTGTCTCAAATTCTCTGCTTATGTACTGTTTCTTCTTATTCGGATCGTAGACCTCTTCCTCTTCAACAGATATGATCACATATTTTCCAGTGTCTAAAAGCAGCCTTTCCTGCATTATGCGCGCGAAGTCCACCAATGCATACGTGTCCGACAGTAGCACATATACTAAACAATTTAACCAGTGCCAATTAATTTACTTTGATTTGTTATAATGTGTATATAATATATTTTGTAATAATTTATGTCGAATTGAGATCTATTAATGGATAACTAATATTGTGTGATCAGAATGTATTTGCCTCTAAAAACATAGGATCTGTGGTTATATTAAGAGACAACAAATCAGTAGAAAAGTCGGCGTCAACTGCAGCCTCAGTGTTAAACCTTTCATATGAGAGTTAACTTCTCTTAACTCTTATTACTTTTGTAATAATAAAATTCGAGACTATATTTACTTGAATCAATAATATTTATATTTGTGTTTTCGGTGACAAATTAATACTTTCTTAATATATAAAATTGCCTGAAGGATTGGTTTTAATACTGCACTGTACTGTACTGTATATGGCAAATATAGGCTACATTGCAGTCCAACTTCAAAAATAGTAGATTCTGTGCTTATTTCTGAACTGAAGGTCTTTATTATGGTTGCATTTTTGTGTTAATTAGTAATTTACTTGATATTAATGAAAGGAACTTATTTGAGAATATGATCTACAGGTAATGTTATCGTTATTTATAAAAGTTCAATAAAAAATATTCTAATCATTACATTTATTTACAAATATACAACATAAATTTTAATTGAAATTTAAATCATTAACAAAATTTTTATTTCTAATGGTAACTATTGGTTTTACTAGTTAACATTGAATCAAAATAAACTCTTGAGGTTTTAAATAGTTATCGACCTCTTTGAAAGATTTATTAATGTGTTAAGACTAAACTGTTTTAAT